CGAAGACCATGAAATGTTTTTTTTTTTTTGGGCTGGATGAGCCACTGTTGGCCTTAGGGGCCTTTACAGATCCGACGGACTTGAGGTGGCCTGGCGCACGAGGCGCCTAGCCTGAACCTCGGCGTACTATTATTACGCGTTATGGTGACTAAGCTCGAGGGCTCCCGAAGGAGCCTCGGCTCGGGCCGTCACGCTATTATTGTTACCGGTTTGGGAGGCAGCCAAGCTCTTAGGGCGCTTTGGCGGGCGCTCCATGGAGTGATCAGGCTCAAGGGTCCCCGAGAGGGGACCTCGGCTTGGGCTGTCACTCAGCACGCGTTTAGCATTCCGATTCGAGGGTGCCCGAGAGGGCCGGACCTCGGCTCGATCGGTAGCTATTATCTGACTGGGACCATGAAATGCTTCTTGCAGCTTCATGTATACCTCGCAGAATGACACTTCTTTTAGTGTTGCCAACAACTTCAAGGAATGACTTCCTTTAGTGTTGCTAACACGGCCCTCCTGTTGTGCATGTCCCAGGCACAATGCAAAACCAGTCGCCGGGAAGAAACATGACAAAATTAACTGAAAACGACATCTTGTTTTTAAACATTTGTGTTATACAGTACTGCTCGGCCATTCCTTTCCTTAAATCCCATCCAGAAATTCCACTACGTTGAATTCTATAAGATTTCTTTAGTCTTATAATACTTCAATATATTTTAATTGTCTAATGGAAAACGTTTATTCGAGAAAACCCAAAGGAAACTTTTCATAAACCGTCTGTAACACAAACCACTCTAGCCATAAACTGCCCCGCAAAAATAAAAAGCTAATTAAATGGATTGTACTGGATAACCCTAAATATTGTCTTTAGGCTTAGACAACGTTTAACGAGATTCATCACTCCCTTAATCCGGAGTAGCGCCTGTTCCAGGTCACACCTTTAGTCTTAGGTAGAGACTGCTTCAGCTCACTACTCCTATTCTGGTGAGTAATACTGTCACCTCTAGATTATCCACTACATGCTCATCACTCCCTTAATCCGGTGTAGCGCCTGTTCCAGTTCACACCTTTAGTCTTAGGTAGACTGCTTCAGCTCACTACTCCGATTATGGCGAGTAATACTGTCACCCATAAGTTATCCACTAGCTGATCTTATAATGTTATTAAGACAACAGTTAACATGGGCTCATAAAATTAACTAAAATATTACCTTGCCAACACCCTTCAATTATAAACTATAACCTAGATAACATTTTCATGTATTTCCATACCAAACCTTAGCAGACCCTTTAAGCTTATTCAAATTCTGGTAACGTATCGTACTATGATTCCACGAAAACTTTAATGCATAAGATTCTATTACGTCAATCTATTTTTTTTTCATTACTATACTTTACACTCGTAGGGCGCGAATACAAACTACACACAAGTGTTAAATCCCACTTCTGATGTAGCTATACTTTGTTTTATCGAGCTAAGAAGGTAGAAATATAAATACCTTTACCAAATCACCGTAGTTTCACTTTGCACAACAATAACACTGGTATAATTACTTATTTTATTTATCACTTTAATATCACTAATGAAACACCACTCTAACGATTTAATTTATGATACCGATTGGGCAGCACTATCGTGTATACTTCTGGTTTGACAGCCAAAGAAGACGACGACTACGACGAAGACCATGAAATGCTTCTTGCAGCTTCATTTATACCTTGCAGAATGACACTTCTTTTAGTGTTGCCAACAACTTCAAGGAATGACTTCCTTTAGTGTTGCTAACACTAGGTTTCATTTTTCGAAAATCTCCTTTTATCCCTGTTTTCAGGGAATGAAAAATATCATTCGAATATGACGGTAAATTTAGCCGCAAAAAAAATGTTATAATATCTCGGTCGGTAATCGGGCGGCCCCAAAACAGACGGCCGCAGTTCGTATCACGATCATTTACACACTTATTTTTTTACTTTTTTCCGATTCCAGATCATTGCTTTGTTTATCTTTTATTTTTTGTCGATTTGTTATTTTGTTATTTTTTTTCCTTTTTTTTAAAGTTCTTTCTTTTGTGAAAAACACCAGTTCATATTTTCTTATTATTACGTCGGTGAGATAGAAAAATATTATGCATATTTCATTACTTAGTAATTTGTATCTAAATGTAATTTCCAAAATACACGATTTACCAAAGAAAACATACCGAGCAAAGCTCGGTCCTCCAGGCACTATACATATGAAGCATTGACAGCATTTTTTTGCCATGAAAAAAGTATATGGAGTACGTTGGGATATAAATACGTAGCATAGCGAGATCATAAGAAAATCCAGAACATATATAACAAATTCAATACCGCCGCTGTCACCTAGAAATGATGAAAGCCCGGCGAATCTCTTATTATTTTCCCGAGAATCTGCATTCAAAATACTCTCAATGCAGGCAGTATAATTTTAAGATCCTTTCCAATAAAATTTTTCCGGTGGTAGGGCCACGCAGCAGCCTCGGCTGTTGCACGAATGGGCAGGTTTGTCCGCGTAAGTACCACGACCTCACAGAAGACCGGCTTAAAGTGGAAGTACAATACTTTCGCGTTTCGTCTGGTGAGTGAGGTGGCCGGAGCCCAATTTTCAAAAGGTTGTAACTGAACTGCAACCCTTGGGTGTAGCAGATGTCCATTGGCGGCGGTACTCACTTAAAATCAGGTGAACCGTCAGCTCGCCTGGCAACTTTTCACATAAAAAAAATTGCAGCTCTAGTGTAATAAAGACGGAAAAAATAATAAAAAAGTTATATGAAAGATATGGTTATTATTAAAAACATAAAATTCTCAGAGAGGAAAAAATAATTTTAGTAAAAACCTTTAAAAGGGCCCTGATCTCTCTTTTCAGGCAAATACTAAAATGAAAATAATAAAAAACAGACCAAGTGAACTCGCATACGAACCCTTCCGTACCATTTCCTATAAAAAGGCAAAAAAAAATCATTCCTGTTGTGTGGGAGGCACACTTAAATATTTTTTATTCTGTTTTTTTTTTGTATTTGTTTTTATAGCGCCAACAGAAATACATCATCTGTGAAAATTTCAACTTGATAGTCAGACATAATATAGTTCATTAGATACAGCATGATGACAGACACAGCTTTTACCCTTTGGGTATGGAACCCTAAAACAACTTTACGCATAAAAAAAACAAAGACGAACTCCAATATACTCAAGATCAGAGTGAAGTGATAAAATATTATATTTCTGCGCTTCTTCTGGATCGTGAGATAGCCGGGGTCCACCATCCTAAAGGTTAACAATGTAGTTACAACTTCAGGGATATTGTAGATCTCCGTGCGCGGTGGCGTTAAAAAGTATTTTTTTTCTTTGAAACCATAATTAAAATTTTAGTATTAGAAGCGAATTTCCACTATTCATAAAACAATATTGTGCGTTGTGTGCTGTTTGTTGCCACCTTAGTCGAATTATAATACTTGGACTTACTCTGCATATATTAACTTATATAATAAAATAGGTCTACAAACAACTGAGTGTATGATGAACCATATGATCGAAACGGACAGGCATGTGACATACCATGAGATTCGGGCATCCTTAAACATAGGCATGACAGCCCTGTAGTCCCGGGCTCATAAAATAGGATTAAGGTATCCTGCCTGTCGTAAAAGGCGACTAAAATGTGACACAGCAGCTCGAAGTGACCTCGAGCTACAGCAAAATGGCGAGGGAATCGAGGAAGGTTGTCGCTTCTCCGAGGCGTGCTCACACCCAGTACCGAGAGACACCGGTGCCTTCCATAGGAGATCTCGGAGTCCCTCCAAAAGTACAGAATGTGGCTCCGGTTTTAGAGTGTAAGAACCCAACATAACCCACATGACCCACATAAATAAATTACTTTATTTACTTCTGACATTGTACGCTGTAGTTAGATACATAAACGACCGTACTGTGTAGTATCACTAAACATACAATAGACATGAAGCGATATTGAGAGATATATAACGTCAAAACTTTGCCATATCTTAACACTGTAGATAGGTGCCCGTTTATCCCGAAATCAATTTTCCTGACGTGTCTTTGGAATATCCCGATCGGCCTATTTTTTTTAATGTGAAAAGTTACCAAACAAACAGACGGTTCCCCTGATGTTAAGTAAATACCGACGCCCATGGACATCTGCTACACCCGTGGTTCCAGATGTGTTGACCTTTTGAACCTTTTGAAAATTGGGCTCCTCCTCTCGTCCCACCTCACTCACCAGACGAAACGCGCAAGTATTATACTTCCACTTTACGCCGGTCTTCTGTGAGGTCGTGGTATTTACCCGGACGAGCCTCCCATTCGTGTAACAGCCGGGCTGCTGCGTGGCCCTGCCACCGTCAATGTTTTGAATTCCTCAAACCTTTACTCTTTGTGGTTTTTTTTAAGTCTGGTACCAATGGGGTTGCAGCAATGGGGTTAAAACGTGCAAAATTCTCTATATAGATTAAACACATATCCGGTCGTGTGCAAAGTTGTGCAATCATATCTTTGCTGATGCTGCAACTGCAGTACATGTTTACATTCAAAGCATTTGGACGAAGTACTTTGCCTCCAGGTTTGTTATATGTTTACCAAAGAAGTGAAACGATTCTTTCTGCGTCATACTTTATACGATTAAAAATGCAGTGTTTCTAAGACAAAAGTGAACAGGTTTTTATTGGGTGGTTCAATCTTCATCAAAAAAATCTTCTGCTCCTTCATCTGGGAAAGTGTTGAAGTAATTGAACCTTACGGTCTTTTAATATCCGAGTAAAAGTGGAATTACATATAGAGCGTCAATATCCCAAAGATTTCTATATGGTCACTTAACCCAAATGAGAGACTTGGTTAAAAGACCCAGAAGCTTATTTGATAATAATATTCAATACATTTAGTGAATTGTTTTAATATATTGGAATGATATTAATAAAATAACATTTTGAGTTCGAGTGAATCATTTAATTTATAATATGTATACTGACATTAATTCTAATAAAAGTAATTAACACCAGTGTATGGTATTGGCTCTACATTAGCATAGGCAATGGATGGCGGCGTACATCCGACGTTACATGTCATAGGTCCAGGAATGCTTGGTGGAAAAATTAATTCGGTGATTGGTGCAAAGTTAGACAAAGGGCCAATCAGCTCCGTGAAACCTCCACAGAAATTGGGGCCCAAACTCATCTGTACTGGCCCCGCTAACTCCTGTAAGCATACAGGTGTCGGGAATGCGGGTGCAAAATTTGCCGGACCCGGTATAAACTCGTTCAGTGTGCATCTATTTGGTCCTAAAGCTGTCAAAGTTGGCCCGTTAAATACAGGTGGCAGGACTTCCGTCACACCGTATAAACTCGGCAGTGGCTCAACGCAAGGACAACGAGGCCGAATCAAGTCTATCGCCGGAGCACAGGGGGGTATGTACTCAGTTCGGGGCGCAATAACATCAACGGTGGGGGTGTAAATCAGAGGTGGTACCGGCTCGCAAATTGGCGACACTGGGGGCAGCACGCATGGTGCAGCAGCTCGTGGATTCAAAGTCGACGCTATCACGTCGCTTACAACAAGCAATTGCAGAACGTTGGCGAGGGAATTCGACACTGTGTTATCGACGATGGCAGTGGTGACCTGCGGTCTTATGATTTGTGACGTCATCAGCTCCTGTGTAGAAACCAGTGGTCCGTTGCCCAACAACTGCGGAACTCCACTGCAGCCACATATCTGCGCCTGAGTCTATAATAAATAGTTATCACAATATAAATAACAGACATTTTACTTTTATAGCTACTTGTTTTTAAAATTTAATAAATAATAAAGTGAATTCATGAACCCACAGCTTTAATTATTTTATTTAAATAAATAAAAGTTTTTCATTTTATTGCAACAGTCGGGAAGGCTTTCATTGTTTGTGACAGAGCCAAAAAAAGTGATTTCCTGTTACTTAAATTCTATAAATGCTTACCTTACAAAGAAAGAAAAATACAATAACGTTAAGTATTTCTCTGGCCATCGTGTTTTTAATTATATTCTATAACCGTAAGGATAGACCTTATATAGTAAATTATTTTCTGTCATGTAATATTTTGTGCAATATTAAAAGTGAAATTTTCATAACTGATAATCAAATCTGAGCATATTACAACAATTAATATTATTATCTTTTACTTATGAATGTAAGGTGTGATAGTATAATAACATAATTGTGAAAATTACTTAACTTTTATTGTATTACAATAAAATTGTTAAGTACAGACCACCTCAGTTTAGAGATGATCTATCTTTTTTATGATTACCAGCATAGACTTTTAACAAAATATGCTACAAAGTTTTTGACTTCTGACGATTAACCCAATTTAACCAGAAACCGTTCTGACGATAACTGGACTCTTTATAAGTTTGCGAGGAACAAATGCAACCAGATGATACGTAATGCTAAACGCCGATATATCCATGATAATGTATCCAACTCTTCTTCGGCCGATGTGTGGAAATTTCTCCGAACTCTTGGTGTAGGCAAGTCAACAACTCTGGGCCTGGGTTCTTCTATCTCTCTTGCTAATATGAACACTCATTTTGCTTCTGTTTCCAGAATGGACCCGTTAGTCCGAGTTCAAACTATCTCCACAATAGCATTAATGCCATCTCCTCAAATTCCACCATTCCATTTCTCTCCAGTGCAGACGGATGAGATTAAGAAAGCTGCTCTGGCAATAAAATCAATGGCTGTTGGTTGTGATGAAGTGAGCAGAGTAATGATAATCACGATTTTAGACCATCTTCTACCTGCCATTTCACACATAATTAATTTCTCCCTCTACTCCGGACACATAAGTATGGGCTAACAATCAATCCTTTAAAATGCCAAGCTATTATTCTTGGCAGCCCAAAAATGTTGGCTAAATTGGACAGAAATATCCCTAATCTATACTACGGCGACACATTAATACCTTTTGATGGCTCGGTGAAAAATCTCGGCCTTTACATGGATAATTCTCTGAGCTGGAATGTCCACATCAAGGAGATCATTCGCAAGGTCATTGCCAACTTACGTTTTCTGTATAGTTTAAAACACTTTCTTCCTTTCTAAACCAAACTTATTCTGGTTAATTCCCTTATTTTAGCCATTTTGGATTATGCAGATGTCTGTTGCTCGGATCTAAACCAGGATTTCCTTAATAAGCTGGAGCGTCTCTATAATAACTGTATTAGGTACATTTTCGGCTTACGTAAATTTGATCACATATCTCAATATCGTTTCCAGCTTAAATGGCTTACTATTCGTCAAAGACGTAGTTCTAGAATTCTTCTTACTCTCTTCTCTATTCTCAATGACCCTGCTTCTCCTAAGTACTTAAAGGAAAAATTCCAATATCTCTCATTAATTCACGATAAAACACTTCGTTCCTCAGCTAGTAGAATACTATATATATATATTATTTATATATATATATATATATATATATATATATATATATATATATATATATATATATATATATATATACTTATTATATATATATATATATTATATACATACTATATATATATATATATATATATATATATATATATATATATATATATATATATATATATATATATATATATATATATATATATATATATATATATATATATATATATATATATATATATATATATATATATATATATATATATATATATATATATATATATATATATATATATATATATATATATATATATATATATATATATATATATATATATATATATATATATATATATATATATATATATATATATATATATATATATATATATATATATATATATATATATATATATATATATATATATATATATATATATATATATATATATATATATATATATATATATATATATATATATATATATATATATATATATATATATATATATATATATATATATATATATATATATATATATATGAATATTCAAAATTAAATAAATTAAAAACATAACGCGATTTTTTTTAAAATGAGATAAAAACTTTATTGTTACTCAATCGATTCATTAACAAATCCCGATAAGTAGACGATAAATAAATACGAATTACTAATAACTGATAAGCATATATTTTTACAGGTAATTTACTATCTCCTTAGATCTTCTTTTGAAATTTCACATATATAATACAACAGTTCTTTTAAAAGTTATTAAATCATATATCAGATTCTATTCAATATGCTGAAAAATATTTTAATGGCGGCGATGCTCCTTAAGGTAAATTTGTTTTTCCTTTTATTCCATGTTATTTTCATTGGAATTTATGTATATGTCAAGTAGGCAAATATTTAAAAACAGAATTTTAAACATTGTTACGGAAATTAGGTACATATTTGCTACGATGACAGGCCTTTTTTTGTATCGAGGGAAATTTTCAAAAGATACCATCTTGATATGACAGGGTTATGTGGGGTTCGTACCCACTAAAACCAGGAGGTTTTAGTGGCCACGTTCTGTACCTTTGGATGCACTCCGGGATCTCCTACGGAACGCACCGGTGTCCCTCAGTACTGCGCGTGTGCACGGCTCGGAGAAGGATAAACCTTCCCCTATTCCCTCGCGTTCTTTCAGCAGCACGAGACCACTTCGTGCTGCCAATCCGTGTCCCCTTTTAGTCGCCATATACGACCTTATCCCTTAACTCGCAATGGTTGACAGCGAGAGAGAGTGGGGTGCTGTCCTCGTATATTGTGAGGACGTTATCACCCAGAAGGAGGCCGCGGAGAGAGAAAAGGGGGCAACTGCCACCCTGGAAATCCACCGCCGGAGACCAGGGCCCAGGAGGCTGGCCTACGCGCGCATCCTTCCCCCCCTGATATTGAGACCCTGAGTGGCAGACATGGGGGTGTCTGCCGCTCAATATGGGGCTCGTGACGTGTGCTGTGCCAATTGCACCGGCACAGCACCAAGTAGTAGAGGAGCCCTAAAAAGGCCATAGTCGCGCCGGGATCGCGGAAGATTGCGTCCACGTGTTCCCGTGTCCCGGGCCGATGCGACAGAGACAGGTGTTACATGGTTTTTTAGTGGGTACCCGTTTCTCAACGGGACTCCCACATACCCCTTCCACTCCCCCGATCCAGTGGCAGGGGATCCATTAAGGATTTTTCCCACGAAAAAGAAGGGACTTGAGACTACAGGGCTGACGGAGCGGCTCGTACATTTCTGCCCACCCGGTGTCTTCTTCAACGAGCGGGGTTGGCCCTCTCCCGTTCCCGCTCAATGATGATAGGCCTGTGTTCGTATTATCGGTCGAAAACACATAAGAAGGAACTGTGTGTTAAATTAAAATAAAATCAGAAATAAAATAAAGCTTTCAATTTAAAGGCAAGTCAATACAATCAATTTCAGTTTATTATTTATTCTCTCACGATCTGGGAATAAGAATTGTATGGAATTGAGAGGGTAAACTCATGATTAAATATTTATAAGAAATTGTGGTATGTACATGTTTCGAGACAAGTCGAATTCAAGCAATGTTATTGTGATTAATCTTCGTTATTTGCAAAGAAATTTTTGTATCCAATTGATTTGTTTCTATATTTTTTCAGATTGTTTCAACACAATGCATACATCAGGCCCCTTTGTCGAGAACACCGATTGATGTAGCGACATCTAAAATTTTAGAAGCGCTGACAGGCAGAATTACGCTGCAAATTCCGGTCCCATCGACGCCGCTAGAAAATATAGTGCTTTGCAAGAACTTAGCTGCACAAATAGAAAACAAAGCTCTGGCCAAATTAAAACATAACGCCTTAAGGAGGCCGGTCTTCGGTCAGATAGTAGGTCCTCTCTTGGAGGAAATATCACTTGTATGTCAGTGTCCAGTCTGCCAAAACACAAAAAGCCATCCTCCAAATTCACTTCTTTTACCAAACACAGCTGGAATTATGGCGAATAACCCCAATCTGTTATATTTCAACAATCCCACGTCCGTGCAGGGTCTGAACTTAAATCAATTACAATGTTCTTATTAATAAAACCGGGACAAATTAATTATGCCATTACTATTTATATCAGTAATATTTATTTCAATTTCTAAATTATTGTATTTAATGCTTATGCTGTGTTTATTAATTGTAATATTTATTTAATAAAAACATTTTATACTGTTTACTCTTACTTTAAATTGGCTTTATAATTTTTCTTTGCTTTTAAATATTTCTTTGAGTTTAAGTTTTCTTAACTTTTTTGCGCTTTCATTTTAAAGATATTTGCGAAACAAAAAGAATTTTCGTCGTAGGCGCAATCCTGTTCTTTTAATAAATAAATGCTTTGAAAGATGTTAAGACATATAGAGAATATGATATTATGGTAATTGTATTATAACACCCTACCTCATATCAGACGAATACGATTATTCGTCTAATATGAGTTAGGGTGTTGTAACCAGGTTTTATTTTACTTATGCATTAAGCAATGCGTTAGGCAATTCCCTTTATCAAAACCCTAATTTCTAAGCCTTGTTAGGTTTATTTTAAAAGCCTAAAGGAGGCCCGTTGGCTGTTTGCCTTGCCACTAAATAAGAGGCTCATAGAAGGGGTTTTACAATATACTAATGTCTTATATTGTGGAACCGCTAAAGTAGCTGAACTTTACAAATAACTTATTTTGAGCTGCCAGATTTATTTTTAGCACGCCATGGAAAAAATACACTTTTGTCATCTAAATAATTAGTAAATGTGTATTATAAAAATTTATTATAACAAGAAAGAGGACGTAAAAAACATTAAATTCCATTTCTACGTACTGTAACTCGCACCCCCCCTTTATTGTGTATATATAATTATAAGTTATATATTTTTTCCCCCATTATAAGAATAAATCATATAACATCATTACGTGACCAGGATAAATTATTGATCTTTCTATAGGATCTTTCTAAAGGTAATAATTAGCCGTATAAATATTATTGTTTTCGTCATATTCGGTAGGACCGCATTTACGTTGTGTTTATTTAGTAACTTGATTCTTTTAGGTGGATCTTGGATAGATAAATATTCACTAGTTGTGGTATAAGCCAGAGATAATGCTAGATTGCTTTCTTATTAACTAATCCCGACTCGCTTGAGACGGGCTCAGAGTATATAGTATACTCCCTCTCACGCTTGTAAAGGGCTCACAATATAATTTTAAACTAATATCCCTTCTCTCTTGAAAAGGGCTCACATCAATTTCACATACCCGATACAAGTCAACAGCTCCCCCACATTTTTAAAAAAATGTAGGGAAGGCACACGGCTCCATGAAAACACTCACCAACACCGTGTGCGGTGAGCGCCAACCAACATATTGCGCCCCCCCCCCCCCCCCCAGAAGAGGGACAAAAAGTTGGGGAAAGGACCAAAGTCCATTGCAAAGCTGTTTTACCAGCATAAAGAGGGCTTGGCCCCTTGGCAGTGCGTAAGCACAAACTTTGACCGAAGTCGCGCATGTCAATGCGTGTAAACGTCATACAAGCCGACGACAAATCCAGTCTTTGTGAATGTACGTCAATACGGTTTTGGGCATGTGTTAAAGATCAGGCACTCTGGCCCTATGATATATAATAAGCCCTCCGTAAGCGCCACCACTTTTGCCAGATCGCCGCGACTGCAGACGTGATTGTTAGTGTTTTGGCATCACCACCATTAAAAAGGTTAGCACGACATTTCGTCGCAGAGCGCGTTATGAGTCACTGCTCACCACAAGGGTATGGTTAAAACGTTGCACGGCATCGCCGCAGCCTTGAGAGGTTTTCTCCCGCCAGCTACCATCCCCATGAGGTAAACGCATATGCTCCACCAACCATTGAAATAGTCAGATATAGCCATAGTTGTGATTTTTATGTTTAGCCATCAGAAGGGTTTATAATTGGCAACATATAATTATTTGTCAGTGTCTCTGACGTTGAGTATAATGTATTTTCGATCAAGTTTGTCTCACCCACCAGCAAGTTGCCATTATTCGTTCGAACGGTGGGAACTTTACTGAGATTCGTTAATAATGATAAAACGTATAAAGAGGTCAGACAGTCTGCAGTTCCGTCATCAGGAACCCGACTTGGACAAATCTACTGAGATGTGCATCAAACCGAGACGCAGACTCGGCCATTATGAATAGCGTCGTCTCCCAAGCAAATGTCGCAAGACGCAATGTCACCAAATGCAACATGCATCAATACAACTATCGCAGGTCAACACGCCAACATACAGCCTATCCGCATACACAGCAGACATCATCACCTCGAACCTCCATCAACCAGAATCATACGATGCAATGATATTAGGCGCAGATCACCCCGCAAATACCACAAGACGCAGTACTGCATACAGCCGCACGCATCAATGTGACTATCGCGTAGGTGTCACACCCTCACACCACACCAATATAACTCCAATCAACTTCGACTCCAAAGTTTAGAATATACTCGGAACACACGAAGTGTCCAAACATACTCTTTCACGATCCGAATGATAGTCGACGTATCATAGCGTAAGCACTAAGACGCCAACCACCACCAGACTCCCCAAAGTCAGATGATCAGTCGACGTATCATAGTGCAACACACTAAGACGCCAACTACCACCAAACTCTTACTATGCCGAATGACAGCTAACGTATCATAGTGATGGTCACTAAGACGCCAACTACCACCAGCTATCGATGATATGTCCACCACTGAAGACATATCCATTCATCGTTCCACGTTTACCGTAGACCATATCGTCGTACAGAAGTACCACGCAACTCCATAGTAATATGTCTTATAAAGTCCCAAGTCATTCATTGCTCTTCATTATATTTATATATTCATTATTTTTTCTCTGAGCCTTCACATATTATTACTTTTATCCATTAGACCTTACTTCCATATGATATTGGTATGGGACGTTCATACAATGTACTTGGACTATAGTACTAAGAGTCGCGATCGACCTCTGTACTTACATATGTGCGGTCATACAAATGTGTCCCCGCACGGTACATAATACTTCCCTTAGAAATCACTAAGTATGGAATTGTATTTAATAGACATAATAGTGATCGTATCTTGCTATATTTTTAATAAATATCCTTTTTTGAGTATTTTAAGTGATTTTTAACTATTTTTTATCAATTTTTGGTAATATCATTTTCTCATACTAACACTTATATTTCTTAAATTTAAGTATTTATTATTAACTTTTACTGTGACTAAACGTTTTACTTTCATCAATTGATCTTTATTATGACTAATTAATAATAATATTTATTATTATTAATAGGTCGTTACAGTACCATTATGATTTCATTTGAGTAAGTCACAGAAAATAAATTAAAAGTAATTCTTCTATAATTTTCAAAGACACCATCGCGTAATTAATTGTTTGCTGTTGAAAACTATAAATATTTAATTTTTGCGACATCGGTATTTTTTCTGCAAATATATAAAAGGCTAAATTTTGTAACAAAAACAGTTTATTTACAAGAAGAAATAACTTATACCTACTATTTACAATCATAGATTTATTAAAAGTCCATTGAAAACAAGTCTTTATAACTATCGGCCGCCAGAATCGCAGCATATGGAGATTGGAAGTCAGCTTTTCGATATTCGAATGGTGAGTGAGGAGGGGTTTCAGGCGGTGATGAGATAGCGTCGTAAGGTGACTTCAGATTTAAACCTGGCCTTGCTTTAGCAGGGGGAACCCCTAAAGAGCCTAACAAACCCCCGAAATTGTTGGAAGATCCCAAATAGTTTGCGTTCGGAACATATTGAGGATTTGCAGATGGATCATTTGAGTTTGACTCGAAATAAGCCTGATAACCTTGGGCTTCAGGATTTGAAGGTACACCAGCACTGGGATACGTGTCTAAATTTGATGAAGCGAAATACGCTGAAATCGGGTTAATGTTCTGAACTGGGCCGTATTCATTTGCTGACGTTTTTCGCAGAGGGAGGATGGTATTGGATTTCTCGATTCGTTCCGGTACAGGCATATTTAGTAAATTGCTCACGATCAACAGTTGCAAAGCAATTGCTAGATTATTGAGAACGTTCGAGTCGAAAGGTGGGGTTGTTAGTGAAGGCACATTTTTCGGATTCGGTGTGTTGTTGATGGGAAGTGGAGACGGCTGTGCAGACGCTACAGGCGGTGTATTATACGATGGAAGCTTCTCCGCGGCTGGATTGTATGGCTTAGCCGGTGTATACGCGGAATATTCGATGAAAGAGGGTACAACTGCAGATTGGTACGTAGCTGACGGAGGTGACGCATAGGAACTTGTTGCTGTTCCCGTCGATCCTGTGCCCGGAAGTTGATAATACTGTTGACTGGGCACTTGGTAATATTTCTGTTGATGCGGCAGATACGATGCGATCACCTGAGAATGAGAAACATCGAAACTTTTGAAGACATCATCACATATTTCAAAACACACTGACGTAGAAAACGTATATTATTTTATCACCGATACGTTTAAATATTATTAACGTAATTCGACAAGGCAATGTGATATTTTTACAACATACCTCATTGAAAATTATTTCAAGTAGTAGGAATTTCAAAATGTTAGCAGCCATTGTAGACGCTTGATTTAAAATGATTGAATCACGTTCGTTTCATTATTGATATAGATTTATTTTACTTCTTCTATCTCATTGGTAGTATTTTGTAATATTTATCTTCTTTATGTGTCTTATTATTAATATTTTATCAACATTTTGAAAACATCTCTGCTTATCTATATAGATTGTATTGTAATTCAAATTTATAAATTATCATTTATAATCAAGACATCAGGCAAACGACCGGGTGTGATAAAAAGTCAAGTAAAAAGTATGTAACAACGTGTAATAAGGAGCTCTTATTTATGGTATTCAGATTATGAATACTTTTCAATAACACCTTGAGGTAATAGCATTAGGTCAAATCGGCTAGAATCAGATAATAAATTCACTATTTAAATGTGTCATATTAGGAACATTTCACCATTAATCTAATATGTTCCATACAGTTTTTTAAAATAATAATAAAAAAAGTCCAAATAATGAATATAATAAGTTTAATCTTAAGTAAAGAGACTGGCACATAATGAAAATTAAGTCTTTAAAAAATAAAAATTCTTACTAGTATTTACAATTATTATTAAAAATTAAAACTACGTTATACACACCAGCACAATGACGGTGAAAATAAAAGGTTATCTGGAATATCTGTCATGTATTGTATAGAACAAGAAAATTGGTTTTTCAATCTCGCTACCCACTTTATTACTTATTATGCCGACTTAACCATTTTTATTGAATGATATTAGAAGCAATAAAAATGTTAATTAAGCGATCTCAGAGAGTTATTTTTTAAGTAAATAAGCACATATATACACAAGCGGATTATAAAATTAACCTTGAAGTTTTTATTTCTTTTGTGTTATATATACGCTACAATGGCTACGATGTGAATCCAACAGGAAAGTAATCTCTTGGGATACATTACAGCAAATCCAAGCTACCCCAGTAAATGGTTTAGAAGTGGAACATAAAAATAACTTGTATTTTCTCTCTGTATTCCCAGTTTTCATTATATTTTATTTAGCATGTACGAATGCTGTTATAGAGATCATTCTCATTTGTTTATATATTTATCTCCTTTACAAAAAAGATACACATCGAAACATTTTTTTTAAACATGCTTATGAAATATATAAATAAATTCATTATTTATACCTATATCCTATCGTAAACTAAATAATATCCCTTTGAGGTGAAAAGTTATTCGATTGACGTTAAAAAAGAATTAAATGCTAACAAAGGATTAGTACAGTGGTTGATTTATGACTGAAATTATAAAAACATAAAATTACAGTATTTTTTAACAAAAAGTCTAAGCGGAATAGTAGAGACAAAGAGGAAGTTTACACAATTTAAATAAATAACTATCAATGGACAGATTTCGCTTAGTGGGTCATTTCAATCATAAAATGTTTATGATTTTCACATGATTAGAGAGCTTGATAAATGATGAGTTAGCGCCAGATTCGTTTCAGACTGATGAGTTACAAAAATTTTTGTAACTTTGTACCATTTCGATCTAGAGGAAGCAGTTAAATTGATACGTGTTAAAAGTTCAGGACAATCCATACCGTTGATTACTTTATGTAAGAACAGTTTGTGTAATATACGTCTTCACTCGATAAGTGGTTTCATATTAAATTATTTAGCATGTACTGTAGGTATTTAGCATATTCATGCGCGAGATGCCACAAAAAACGTGTTTGGGCGATCTCTAATCCTTTTACATATATTTATAAAATGGGCTCCACACAACGCTGCAGTACTCCAAACCATTGCGAACGAAGATCTTATATAAAATTATGATAGACTAAGGATTTTTAAAGTTCTCGAATTGCGCAGGATAAAACCTAAAATTTTAAAAACTTACTTTTATGAAATCCTTCAGCTTAATAAAGAATAATTAATGAACAGATTTTTATATTTAAAATTTATGTATTTTTATTATTAGTAAGCGCAATATTTGTAACATTTTAAAGCATAATCTTGACCTATTATTTTACAAAACAAACGTGAAATTTAAGAAAGATTCAACTCGAATATTCCAAGTAATACTTTCATATCACGTAGCGAAGACATCACACTACGGAATTGAGTTTCAGAACTAAAGCGGTTTATTCTGATTGAAACTGGCTTTAATATCTTTTGCTTTCTATAACAGTAATGCCAGTGTGCCAATAAAAATTTTCTGGAAAAAAACCCGAAAAATAAGCCTTAAAACCAGCTGGAATTAAAAGCTTCTACACAATAGTGTTAAAAAAACGCCAGACAAGGTGGTAATGTAGTATTAAGTCGAGTAACATTAAAACATTTATTAACAATATCACTTACAAAATAACGTAATAACGTAATAATAAGTAAACTCGGCACAGCGTTACTGTTCTGACGTCATCCCGTTGACCTTTCGCATTTGGATTGACGTATTTTGAAATGAGAGAAAGTGTTATTTAGGGGAGTTCTATGCGTCACGAGCGTAACTAAAGGGCTATCCATTACGTAGAAACGCGTGAAACGAACAATAAATTTGCAAAATGTTCTCGCGGAATGCACGAAGAAAAAGAAATAAAATGAATGGCGCGAAAATCTTTTATGGGGGAGAGAGACATATTTTGCTTGATTCAACAAGTTTGAAACTTTTTCTTAATCGCGCTAAACTTTACTGTGAACTGTGAAATAAATATTAAAGAAACCGACAAATAAGAAAGCACTAAGATTAAACTCCGAAACTCCTGTTTATTTTTCAGACTTTAAAAAGCTTTATAACAGCTATGTAATTCATCAATTCGAATAATTATATAGTTATATATTTATTACTATAAAGGTCAAAAACTACACACGTAGCCATGTAGCTTCGAAAACGAACTTACTCGACTTGAGTCGAGACGAGTTGCGTCAATAAAAAGTCGCTACGCAAAACCATAAACAAAATAAGTAAAGCAAAAGTACACAATTAAAATGTACTAAAAAATTGTCACTAAAAAAAACAAAAATAGTTAAAAGGAAATAATGCAATAAAATAAAAATTGGCAAATCTAAAAGTGCACGCCTCACAACACTCATAAAATATTTAAGAAAAACAAAACAAGTCGTACTATTATGAGTTATTTGTATTATTTAGACAATTTAACAAAACTTTTTTTATTAAAAACATTATTAATTTTACTACGGGTACTAAGAGGATATTAAATGGGTAACTAGTTGATGTTATTCTGAAGATAATAAACAATACCCAGTCTCGATACGTCCATTTTTTCGGGTGTTATCAAGACCACCTCATACAAAAAAATCTGGACGTCTGGGGAGATTTTTAAGGATTCTTCCTTTCCACATCCTTAAAAATCCGTAATGTGTGTGTAGCCCAAAAATATAATTGTATACTTATTTAATAACTCCACACGAAAAGCTACCTTATTAAAGTTTATAAATCGGTAGTAAAATTTGAAGCAGATTTTGTAGCGGCGGGTTCTTAAGCGGAACACGCTTAATTACTCAGGACGGTAGCTTATAAGCAATAGAAGTGAGGAAAATTTTAATATAGACTACTTCTTTTCATATAAACGCAGCTAAAACTTCTCGAAACCTCAAACTTACTGGTAAACCTGTGTTGTCTCGCAAACTCAAATCGTACCATAGAAGTTTTGTAATTAGCCGCCGAGAAAGTGTATCCGCCATCTCTGGTTTCTCAATTAAAATGGTATGAATGATGAAGACTGATGAAGGGTAATTATTTGTTTGGAATTAATTACATAAAAAAGTTAACGTTGTCGGAACGCTTTGAGTACAGTTTTAATTGTATTCAAAGCGTATTTGACGACCTGAATGGCGTAGTGGTTAGTATACCTGCCAGAGGGTGTGGGTTCGATCCCCTCTACTGGAAAAAATATTGTGTGATGAACATAGTGTTTTTCTAGTGTCTGGGTGTTTATATATCTATAATGTGAATTTATTTACAAAAGAAAAGTATGTTTAAGTATGTTTATCAGTTTTCTAGTACCCATAGTAAAAGCGTTGCTTAGTTTGGGACTAGAAAATGTTGTGTAAAAATGTGTCCTAAAATATTTATTTTATATTATTTTGTTGCGAATATTGTTTACGACTCTTACTGTTGATCCACTAAATCGTCTTGAAATGTGAAATTTTGTGTAGTGTGGTATGTGATGACTGTACAGGATATCCATGTAGTATGCTGGATTACACCAAGGAAACTTCTCGTCTTGTAATATTTTACTATTTGAAAAGATTGCGTACTGCAAGTTCCACGCCCGTTAGAGGATGAGGCGTGAAGTAGAAATATTATACTTTCGCGTTTCATTTGGTGAGTGAGGTCAACAGGACCGACTATTTTATAGGTTGCTATTACATCTGCAACACGTCTGATGTTGTAACTGTGTATGTGAACGACGGCAATCACTTAACATCAGGTGAATCCCCTAGTGGTTTGCTATTTGTACTTAATAAAAAACCGGCCAAGTGTGAGTTACTCCGAATGGTGAGGCGAATGATTCCGTACCGTTATATATAAAAAGGCAAATCAAAATCATGTCCGTTGTATGGGAGCCTTATTTAAATATTTTTAGCGTTCCGTACCCTAAGGGTAAAACGGGACCCTATTACTAAGACTTCGCTGTCTATCAGTCTATCTGTCTGTCTGTCCGTCCGTCTATCCGTCTGTCCGTATGTCCGTTTGTCCGTCTGTCACAAGGCTGTATCCCATGTGAAATTTTCACAGATGATGTATTTCTATTCCTGCTATAACAACAATTCCTGAAACCAAGTTTAAGTGGGGCTCCCATACAATATAAGGTAGATATAGGTACGCGAACCCTTATTGCGAATTCGACTCGCACTTGGCTGGTTTTATTTTATTCTGTTTGTTAGTATTTCTGTATGTCTGCAACAGAAATACATCATCTGTGAACATTTCAACTGTCTATCAGGATTTATGTAATACAGCCTGGTGACAGACGGCAGGCAGACAGACCAACAGACAGACACACTGACAGTAGAGTTTTACCCTTTGAGTGCGGAACCCTAAAAGCTGTTCAATCAAAAAATAATGAAAATAAAATAAAAACATTTATTTAAATAACAATTGCATTTATGTTCCAAAATATACATCAAACGTGTGCTCAGGAAGTGTGTACTGCGTCGAATACTTCCAATCACCTAGTAAATGTAATTGTAGCCCGGCAAGTTGTAGGGGGATCCGTACGGGTTGATAAGGCCACCGCCGTACACTTCGATGGGCGCGTAGCTGGGAAGCATTTCAACGGGACCGAACGCCGGGGCCAGCAGCTCGCAGCCGGCGTTCGGCAGGGTGCTGCTCAGCAGGTTGCTGACCACGAGCAGCTGCAGGGCGTTCGCCAAGCTGTTCGCCACGCTGCTATCCTGGATAATTGTTGGGGCGAACTCGTACGGCCTCTCTAGCACCAGGGGCGACACGGCCGGAGCGCTTATCATCAGCTCGGGGACGACATTCGGACCGCAATTCGGCACCATGCGGTTGACACATTGGCTGTACACCGTCTGAAAAAATAATAGAGGACAAATAATAATAGGAGTAACATGTCAAACATACAACACTTATCTTTTATCAGTTAGGATGACGTTAGTGTTGTCCTTTGTTTATATACATACTAGCGGACCCGACAGATGTTGCCCTATACACATGATTTATTACTTAAATCTGACAACTTGAAAAAGTAAATAATAATAGTTCGTGGAGTGTGTTTCCTCCGCGCGGAAAAAGTGAAACTACGAGTGCCACGCATTCACTCTCACTCTGTCTCTTTCTACTCCCCCTCCCCAGGAGCGTTGAACGTTTAACTCAACAGTGCTTTCATACCCCCTCCATGGTAGCGTTAAACGTTTAACGCTACCTGTTTGCATTAGAAGTTTCACTTCAAAATTGTAGTTGTAGTAAATATTAAAATAGTATTCAAAATTGTTGAATATAAACCATTCTCGAATCGACCTGAAGACAAAAAATTTCATTAAAATCTGTCCAGTCTTCTAAACAAGTTCAGTGACATACACACGCACAGAAGAATATATATATAAAGATAATAGGAAGCTCGGATGCTCGGAAGCACAGATGTACAATAAGTAATTATTTAAAGCTTTGTGTACGGGACTGCTTTAATGGTATGTTAGGCCAGGACTATTTCAAGTATTGCTCAAGTTCCTCAGTATCACCCTAAAGTCTTAAAGTAACATTAAGAATGTATGCTAACACATAATATTTAATAATGCATTGCTTTATAAGCGGCCCAAATAGGTGTTTTAATAAAGTACACAACAAAATGAAATCATTAAACGTTATTTGCCTTTTATAACAATTCTGGTCTATACAACGAGAAACCGTAAAAATAAATGATATTACGAGAAGAAGAGCAATATATATCAAAGTTTGCAACATCCCAGCGGTACTAAGAGCAAAGTTTTATCTGAACGAGAAATATACTCCTTTTGTAAAAAGGATTTATGTCCACAATTAAACAGTTATTTTTAAATATAAATTTAGTTTCAAGAAAAGGTTTATTTTTATCTACAGAAAGTTCAACAAAAATAATAAACAACTAATAAAATATGTACCTGTTTGAACTGTAAATATTAATAAAACTACCACTTTTTATGGAAAGTATGATTGTCCATAAAAATTGTTTTGGCAATAAGTTATAGAATATTTTTAATCTTCACTACTAAAATTTGTGTTCATTTTTATGTAAAAAATATGCCCTCACAAAAAAGTATAAACCTAGGTTACCTGCATTAAGAAAAGCTGAATAGCAACGATCAAAATAGATTGGTGAACCATTTTAGTGATATTTTTAATGTTAACTTTGTGGAAAATCTTGTAAACTGTTAATAAAATAAGTTTTTTGCTGCTATAAATATTCAATGTTATCTTATGTACGTGTTTAACAGTTTTTCATCAACTAATTGCATTGATGTTGTTTCCACAATCCTTATCAAATATTTATGGTAATAAAAATTACCCAATGACAAGTAGGTAAAATCACTAAAAGTCATATCATCCTCATTATCATCATTTTAGTCTATTTACTTACCCCATAGACTGCCGCGAATCACAATCTATAGCCACTTGCATCCCTTCCTGCAAATTTGTACAGGTCGCTATCAGTTGCAAAGTAACATACTCATACATATCTTGTATTGTAAATCGAAATATAATTTGAGATTGAATATTAATTGGAATACATATTTCTATAATGTCTCCTATTACCTTTAATGAGTTCTCACTGATCACTGCGAGAGAAACGTTCAACTCAATTTAGTATAAAATTATACATATGACCAGCTGACCCGGCAAACGTTATTTGCCATATAAATTATATGTAGGGTAGAAAAAAATGTTTGGGGTGCACCACCCTTAACATTTAGGGGGATGAAAAATAGACGTTATCCGATTCTCCACCCTGGCCGATATGCACACAAAATTTCACGAAAATCGGTCGAGCCGTTTCGGAGGAGTTCAATTACAAACACCGAGACACGAGAATTTTATATATTAGATTAGGCGTATCGAAAGGCCACCTCGATAGAAAGTATTGGGTGTGGCGTTTAAAAAAAATGCCAAATATCGCATGTTGTCGTGACATTTTAATATTTCTCAGACCCAATTCTAGTATGAAAGGAATCCAAATGGGTATGGGGTTCATTACATGTTAAGTAATCAATGCTGCCGATGTAAATCAAACACTATTGGATGGGTATCAGTCCGCATATCCGTCTCCGACGCTCGCTCCCAAGGATGCGTTGTACAAAATGTACGATCGTGGGATCGCAACAAACTCGTAGAATAATGTACGACAACATTCTCCTATGTGGCCTTGCTACGTCCCGAACCAGCCTCTATCACTTCTATACCGCATTGACATGATAATATTTATAATCTTAATTTACAAAAAAGCTTCCATACGTTTGTATCCACAAAACTCAAAACCTAACCGATGTCAGCAAAGCTATTGTATAGCAGAGTGTTTCTATATGCTTTTTATTCCGAATTTTCGACGGAAACGATAAATAAAACAAGCCACAGCGAAACGCGGGGCCGGGTTCAGCTAGCAAGAAATAAGTAAATTAAGGTTTTCCAGAAAGATAAAGACAACAGGACTTGTGAGCACGAATAATAGCGTTTTTCTGTTGTCTTTTCATAATTTAAGATCACCAATCTTCTGATAAAAAAATTTCAAAACCCAAAAATTCTTCTCAATTTGGATATTATTTTATTTATTTCTATTCTATGGAGAACTTGAAAGTCTTTTAACACATTAGCTTTACACTTACAGATATTATTTTTCAATATAGAAAAGTAATATTTGAGTTAATTTATAAGCGAAACTCTTCGGAAAATACAGATTTTGAAACATTATACCTATATGCCTTATAACTTTACATTTTATGCATCCCATATCGATTGCGATCCAAGCCGAGGTTCGAACCTCCGTCTGAGGGGCCCTTAGATTGTGTCGTGTCGAATGTCCATCTTTCGTTAGCAGGGAGTGCAGCGGGGCGTACGGCGTCTTCGTGTCGTCGTCATGCCCAAGCTACGTTGAGTCCGTGGGTCGTATGCCCGCAAAAACCTCCGACGAAGCTGTCAAAGCCGCGGAGCTAACAATAACGTCACAAAAAAACATTTTATGCAAATATTTTAAGGGGTTATTCAGGATATCTTTTTTTTTAACTGTTGATTCGTGAGGAGTGCTGTGGGTGAGTTGCACAGCCCCATGTGCAGCAGCAGACGCCCATTACTGCCACTCAGGGTCTCGCTATCAAGGGGGAGAGTTGCGCGCGTAGGTCAGCCTCCTGCGCTCCGGTCCCCGGCGTCGGAGTGACATAGGATAGCTAAAGGACCTAAAACATTAACACATATTTCTTCTTGACGGGCACGCATTATAAAAAATTTATAATATTTGGAGCAATGTTTTCAACTAAGTGTAAGAATTTTTTACTTTAAGACTAACCGTAAACTAAGATAAATCAAGTTAAACAATTATTTACCTCAAGCCCACTGGTTAAGTTCGTTATGGCGATGTCAACGAAAGTTAGGTCAAGCGAATTAGCTTATTTATTTTATATTTATAAGTATAATATAATATAAATTAAGGTATTGACATTATAGAATATTTATAGTAGCTAATTGGTTTAGTTACTAGCAAAAAAAAAATATCTCACTTTCGAAAACAGTATTAAAATCAAGAAAGTGGTGTAGTCATTTCTTATGGAAAAGTTTTAATAATCATTTCTCTTCAAAACTTAAGTAATTCCGAAAAGTTTCACACTGTTATAATTGATTGAAAATCGTTTACTGCATTTTCCTCTAGTGGTTAAAAACAGGTTACGGTTAAAGTTTAAATATAGTAATATAGTATTAAAAAGTGCAAAACGAAACACCGTAACATATCAAAAATGTTAAAATAAAGAGAAACAAGTGAAGAAACAAATTAATTTCAAGTAGGTAATTTGTTGTGTATAATGAATAAATGAAGAACAGCCGTTCATTTGAATTTTAAAGATACCTTTAACCCTTTAGAACCCTAAGGATCAGCATACTATATTAATATTGTATTGTAAAATTAAATTATTAATTACATAATGTCATTACGATGGATTGTAGACTTAGACTTCTAGGTTTTAGTAAAGAAATGAAAAAGTTAAATAAAGTAACATAAATAATAGGCCTGTCAAAACGTGAACAGCTTTAGGGTGTTTGCGTAGTCCCTTGACAAAACATAATAAAAAAGTGACTAAGAAGATGGGGCGAGTTGGTCTGATTGGTTCTTGGAAAGATATGCTAATTTTTGGAATCAATTTTTTGGCGCTGGCGTTATCTACTCGAGCTAAGGGACACATGGTCGCTTAGAGCAGCGGTCACTTAGATTTCGGCCGCGCTCCTGGACGGTGATTAACCACTATTGCTGCTTGTCGTTATAGTTGTTAATGTTCAAGTTCAGTTATAGTTAAAATATTAGGATCAAGGTAAAATCGTTAGAACTCTTATATCAGAAGTGGGATTCAATACAAGAAATCTCGCGTTTGGCTGTTCAAACAATCGGCGACATATTTTCTCCTTGGGTACCTACCCTCGTAAAATAAAGCAGTGTGTTTTATACTTACTATACGTAATAGTGATAAAATCTTTTAGTTAAATGTAACGAAAGTTTTGGTGAGTACCTTCCAGTTAATTAATTACTTAACATATTTGAGAAAACGTTAAATAGCTATACACAAGTGGTTTACCCGTTAAGCTACCGAGCATTTTAGTAGTTGGAAAATTTAAGGCATGAACGTGGCGATATGCATCCCAGTTGAGGGATAAGCCACAGGGTAAGGTGCTCTGAACGTCTCGATATGCATCCCAGTTGAGGGATAAGCCACAGGGTATGGTGTTCTAAACGTGGCGATATGCATCCCAGTTGTGAGGGATAAGCCACAGGGTAAGTGTTTTGAACGTGGCGATATGCATTTCAGTTGAAAGGGATATGCCACAGTGTAAGGTGTTCTGAACGTGGCGATATGCATCCCAGTTGAGGTAGATAAGCCACAGGGTAAGGTGTTAATCTTATGAAGGTTATTGTACCAGACTACAACGCCATTCGAGGACGAAGGCGTGATGCAAGACGACCGAATGTTGGCGCTGGCGTTATCTACTCGAGATAAGGGATACATGGTCGCTTAGAGCAGCGGTCACTTAGATTTCGGCCGCGTTCCTGGACGGTGATATAACCACTATTGCTGCTTGTCGTTAAAGTAGTTGTTAATATTCAAGTTCAGTAATAGTTAAAATATTAAAATGTTAGGATCAATGTAAAATCGTTAGAACTCTTATAA